GTTTAATAAAAGCTATTTGATTCATAATGACCCTTTGTGAATAAAGTAAGTTTGGAGTGTCATGGCCATGGTGGTCCAGGAAATGTGTGAGAAGAAAATTCTTTTTTGTGATATCTGTTATTAGATCAATTACTGGTATATACTGTAGTTGGGAGACATGCTGAACAATCTTTTGGGCATAAAGTTTCCTAGTGGGCATAACTGGGCCAATAAAAGATCGTCTTTGTGAATAAAAGATGGAAATAGAATTTTTTTATCAGTATATATATGACTGCTGTATACATGAAAATCATTATGAATTCTGAAGTTTAGACTTCTGAACTTCTGACTGCTGTTTGTTCATCTGAAATTTGTAGTGGAAATTCATTATTCACTATTTCCTGGTTTCAACTATTTTAGTTATATAACTGGGGAGAAAATACTTGACATTCATTGACATTCAGCAGAGCAAACACTCATTTGGATAATGAAGATGGAATAGATTATACAAATACACCCAAAATGCAAGCCACAAAATTATTCAAACTCTTAGGTACAATGACGAGGTACAAATAACATCTTTGGTAGATAGCATTAAATATGTTTTCAAAATACATTTGGTGAAAATAATTTAGTTGTATTTCCAGATGGCCAGACTAAGGAAGACATGGCAGCTTAATGGTTATATGAATTATTATGGTACTACTCAGGTACTACTCTTCATAACTTCTCTTCTGCAAAAATAATGTCTAAGTGCTAAGATCTGCAGTAGTACCTGCTGTTCTTTTTTATAATGATTTTTATTATTGAACCAAAATATAGTAGTGTGTGAATAATATAACATAACACTGAAACAAAAACAGAAGGAAGAAGAGACTGCTATGGCTTACATCTGACCCAACTTAAAACACTAAGTGATGGTGTCAGGATAGAAGAAGTCAGAGGAGAAAACTGGAACAGCACAGGGAAGCCCAGTCCTGACTGTCTTTCCTCTGGCATCAGTGAGATTGTTACCTCTCAGCTCCATGTTGCTGAGCTGACAGTCTGTCTGACTCGCAAAGAATTCCCTGCCCTCTCCACCCCCACCTAAACAAAACTGATTAAGATGCAATGGGAGACATACCTAAAGCCCTCCGGATAAGGGAGCAACTGTTCTAGGTCTGATTTGCATCTGAGATCGAACCAGATGACCATTCATTTACATGGGAGATGGAGAACAGAAAGCCTGAAGCAAAGACTGCAGTGAATTCTGGGATCAGAGAAGCAGGGGAGCACTGCATGATGGGGAATCTGTGCTCCAAATGCTAATCAACCCACATTTACACACACCCAGCTCAGCATTTATCAGACCAGTTCTAGTCTGGATTTACAAAGGACTTCCCCCCACACACACACACAAACCTCTAAGCAGAAGTAAAGTTTAATAGGCATCTCGGGCCCTACATTCCCCAGTCCCACTATGCGAGGCCTATTTAAACTTGACTAAAACTTGGTTGCCGGGTTAGGGAATGCAGAGGCAAAGAGACACAGTCAGAGGGGGTATGGGCAACATTTGAACAATGGTAAAGGGGTTCATCACAGCATCCAGCCCATTGGAGCCCTGACCACAAGTGTTGTCATACTTTTCCCAGGATGACTGGTGGAAGTCCTCCCCACCAAAGGTTATGAACACTCCAATAATTGCCTTAAGTCTGTTAAAAGACTAAAGTAAGATCTGGAAAAGTCATGCTAAGCTGAGGCTTGTTCACAACAAGTAAAAATCCAAAACCCTGATGCTGCAAGCTATCTATTGTTTCTGAAGAAACCAAGAGATATTCCATCAGTATATCTACTATCCATAGGAATTTCAAGCTGGCTCCTAAGTGTCTGGTTACTCCTTAACCTTATGTTTTCCTGATTATCAATCAGTTTTTTGAGATGTTCCAAATCAGATAACCCCTTGTCAAGAGAAAAGACAATGATTTACACTATTGAGAATGCTT